GATTGTCAACTAGTAACAAAACCTAAGTTAATTGTTTGGATGATCATGGGGTTAAAGCATGCCATATAATAAGATTCATGATGGACCAAAAGAAGGGTCATTTATGCATTGGGTTCAACTAGAAAGACCGTTTTAATCATATAGAACAACATGAATGTTTTAAAATTCAAGGTGGGGATGATTAAGCTAGCTGTCTTAGGTATAATTTTCAAGGAAAAGTAGGCAATGATCCAATGTTTTATGCTAAATATATACTAGGAGATGATGGTAAAATGGAACACTTGTTTTAGATAGATGGTACTAGTAGATTTGATTATCAATATTATGGAGATGTCGTTGCATTTAGTAGTATCTACAAGAAGAACAAATATAACAAGATTTTGGTGATATTTTTTGGAAAAAAATATCATAGGTAAACTATAATTTTTTGTGTTGGTTTGATTTTAGATGAAACTACAGATACTTACAAGTGGATTTTATAAGCCTTGGAAGCAATATATACCTCTTAAGCAACTATAAGTTGTAGTGATAGATGGTGATGGGGATATGAGGGAGGAAATTAGGTAGGTATTTCCTAATACAACATGTAGACTTTATGTGTAATATCTACTAAAAATGGCTTGTGAGAATGTAAAAAGTCCTAGATTTTTTGTTGATTTTAATTACGGTAATAATGGGAAGTTCATCCTAGAGAAGTTTGAAACATTTTGGAAGGATGTGGTTGGTAGACACCGACTTCAAGGCAACAATTGGATTTTGCTAACATACCAAATGAGGCGTATGTCGGCAAATGCTTATCAATGCGATAAATTTTTTGTTGGTATTAGAACAACTTCTTTGTGTGAAGGAGTGAATAGTTGTATTAAAATGTACGTGAGGAGGAAAAATTTTGTGGTTGAATTGTTGTATAATTTAGGATAGTCTTTAAGTTATTACAGGTACAATGAATTGATTGTTGATTTTAATTCATTTTATACAAAAATTGTTTTGACAAACATTGAGAAATAGTTGAAGTTGGTGCAAAGTTATATACACGAGATGTTTTCAAGTTTGTAAAATCTGATATAGTTGATTATTTTGTGATTAATTTTTTTTATTTTGTGGGATTAATGATTATATTAAGGAAAAAAATGTAATTCATTCACATCATTAATTGAAATACATTAAATGACAAATATACAAAATAAATAGTGTGAATTATAATTATGGGTTGCATAAAGGTTCTCTTACGCACACACATCAATACCTTGAATGATATCATGCTAATTAATTTCATTTTTTTATTAATCTAACATACAGGTATACCCAATACCCGAGAGGGATGGAAATGAAAATTACATACCCAACGAGTACAGGTACAGAGACCGGGATGAGTTTAACTTGCAAAAATAGAGACGGGTATCATAAAACTCGTACCCGAAGTTACCATCCCTATGCATTATCCAACCCCACAAATCACACACTTCAACAAGTGTGTTGGAAATTTTGCTGCTTACAATTGCACGGTGATGAACCATGATCCTAATCCCGACCTAAAAAAAAAAAAAAACTTGTGAGTACTAAGAGCATTTATAACAAGGGTTGCTTATAAACAATTCCCTATGTCACAACATCAGCTCTGACTCATTTTATGAGTTGCTTAAATTTTAACAAAATTGCTTCTACAAGTAACTCTGCTAAAATTTAAACAACTCATAAAATAGGTCAGAACTGATTTAACAGTGACGTGACACAGAGAGATTAGAGATGTTCTAATCTTAATCCTTACTACATGCATTTCTGTGACAACATTAATACCTTGCTTACTGTCCGAACCGATTGATGTGGTCGTACAAGAGTTATTTTTTGTTTTTGTTTTTATTTTTTTTTTAAGAAAAATTCTTGATCCTCCGAATCCATCGTCCTAAATACATTCCGAATTAAAATATATATATATAT